GCGCGCCGGCCCCTCGTGCCCAGCCCTGCGGTTGGGGTGAGCGCGTGAGGCTCAGGCCCCTTGGCCTGCGTGCAGTGGCCTGTCCCAGCCTGGCCTTGGGGACAGACGGCCTGCGCGCCCTGCCAGCTTCCTTGGGGGGCCGGGAAAGAGCCGGTTTTGCTAGGCCCCACAGGTTCTGAGAGGGGGGCACGTGGGCGCAGGCTCTCCTCCTCCCCCCTCCAGCGCTGGCCGGGCACAGAGGATTTTTAAAAGGCTTCCGTGCCCCTCTCTCACTGCCCCTTCATCCGCCCCCCGAGACATCCCCAGTTTTCTTGCCCGAGGTGAAGGGATTTGGACGTCTCCCCCCAGGTGCTTGAAAGAAGAGAAGGTTGGAGAAGGAGGAGGAGGAGACTGGGGGGGCCGCTGGTGGTGGTGACAGGGCTGGGAGAGAGAGAGGAGAGGGACGGAAGGGAGGAGGGGGCTGGGTGGGGTGGGGGTGACAGGCAGAGAGGAGCCTGGTCAACAAGCCAGCACCACTCTGCTAGGAGGCCAGGCCGGCTCCTGCAGCCGACGCATCCTGTGTGAGGAGACACACATAGATTGCTTTCTTGGGGGCTCTTTGTCAGCCACCAACCCAGAGAACACACACTGACACACACGTACACAAAGATCTGAGCCAGGTTGTGGGAGGTAAGTGGGGGAAGGAGAAGGAGGGGGAAACAGTGTCTGCGGTGGGCTTTGGGGTGGAGGGGCGGGGGGATGGGCCCTGAGGGGCTTTGGGGTGCTTGTGAGGTGAGCATTTCCAAGACCGTGTGCTTGTGGGGTGTGGGGGAACTCACGGTGACCTTCCCCGCCTCAGGAAGACCTAAAAGGGAAAAGCAGCCCCCAGCGAGATCCCCCCGTGCTGACGATTTTCAGGGACTTGTTGGCAACTCAGCGAGGGTTGCCATAGCTTTTTTATGTAGGGTGACCAGAACCGGCTGAAACTGGTTTGAGGCAGATCAGCTCCTGAACACAATGCAGTCACTGAGCTACTACAGTGGGATAGCAGCTTCCTCCCTTCATGGCAGCCAAAAGCAGAGGAGCTTGCAGGAAGGTACCATCCCAACACAGTATGTGAATACACACTTAGACACCACACAGCACTGGTACGTGACTAATGGAGCCCTAAAAGATTCTGTGTAGAGAAGATGGGGGAAAAGGTGCAGGTTTGCAGGGTCTGAGATGATTTGAGCTTTTCCTGCCTTTTTCTTTTGCTTAAGGGATGGACAAGGAGCTGAGATTTATGACCCTTATTAAAGAAAAAAATGTGCCTTGCTAGGGTGGGGACACTTGGTTTATGCAGTCTCTCTCTCTGTTTTTAACAAAACAAAACCAAAATGAACTGATGGATTTGTAATGGTAGTTTGTTTGTTGCTGGAGAATGCTACTTTGCATGCTTTTTTCTCTTGCAGGCTATGTTCTGTTTTGTGCTTTTCCTTTTAGAAGCTACTAAAGGGTGTTGGGGATACTTCTGACTATTATGAAGGCCAAAAGGTAACAGTATTGTTCTAGGAAATGAGCATAAATGCGTTCCAGTGATGCTGCTAGCCATACATGCTGTCTTTTTTTTCCTTGTAGGCCTGTTGACTGGGGCTGCTTTTAACCCTTTCATGTTTGCAGAGAATGCAACCGTGTGACAGTAACTGAACATTGGTCCAAAGTCTTTCCAAAAGGTCAAGGTTCACAAGGTGAGATACGCTGTTTTGAGGGTGAATTTATTTATTTGCAGATCCATTCAGATGCAGACTGACAGTGGCTTGGTACCCTGGAGATAAAATTGGGTTCAATGTGGAGAAGAAATACTCTTAATGTTATCCAAGCTTAATGAGATTAGAGTGACTTTATGATGGTGTTGCTGTCAAGGAGGAATCTGAATGCCTTCATTAAATCGCATGTGTCTGGGCATTTGGAAGAGTCAGGCCTGGAAAGAAGCAAGTTTAGAGAATGGTAGGCATCAGGGCCTTGTGGAGAATGTGCTGTTTTGCATAAGACTGAAGCAGTACACATGGAGTGTTGTCCTGATGATTGTAAGAAAAGGAAGGGCTTTTCCAAATCGAGGCAGTCTAGCCACCTTTTTTAGGATTTGAGGAGTCTGAAGGTAGATTTGCCTTTTATTCATTTATCACCTTTCTTTTATCTTGCTCCCTATGTTTAACCTGAAAGGTTTTTCACTCCGAGTCAAGTGGTGGAATGTCTTTTATTGATTTTGGGGGTTGTTGACGGTGAGTTCGCCATTGGATTATTTGTGGCATACATTTTAATGTGGAATACTAACGCCATACCAGGAGGAAACTGGGCAGTCTGGCTTCATCTGTGAAAAGATGACTGTTAGCCGAAAGCTTTACTGTAATGGATGGTAGAAAATGTCTAATGCTTTAAAAGATCGCAGTTAGATTGGAGCTGGCGTTTTTATGCAGCCTTCAAAACCAGAGGCTGGAGAGGAGAGGAGAAAACAGTGAGGAGTGCAGCAAAGTGTAGAACAAAGGCTGTGAGAGCTTGCAGGGGGGGCACTAAACATCTTGCCTTGGGGTTCCTTGTGAAAAGAATTCACTTCCCCAAACAGGAAACCAGCAGCTCCAGAATCGTTTCCAGTATGATCTCAACAACAGACTGAACTGGTTCTGCCTTTCTGCTGGTTTGGTAAAAGTACAGTCAAGAGGAGTCCATAGAAGAAGTGATTGAAAATAAATTTCTTCCCTACTTTGAAGTGGGTATTTCGTTCCTCTCCGTGTTCAGCAGAATAGTCTTTTCAGAAATGCCAAGGATCTTAGAATTGGTTAAGTTGTGTGCTGGCGGTTAGTGGGCAGCCTATCTGCATTGAAGGATGTCAAGTATGCAAGAGTTTTTATTGTTGAAATGTTTTTCATTTGGCTGTAGAACATCCACTGTGTGATAACACTGGCAAAAGGGAAACGAGTGCACGGTTAGCTCAGAATACTTTACATAGTATTTAATAGAGATAAATGTAATCTCGGACGGATATACCAGTAAATAGCTTACATGATGGAACAAAATTCTTTACAAATCACTGTGCTAAAATTGGTTTTCAATTCCACCTCATTTTTGACTGCTAGAGGTTCTGTGTATGACTGTGGCAGGAATATGCTTGCAAAGCAGTTCTGAATCCATGTTGCATGATACGCTGCTTCTGCTTTTCTGGTGCCAACTAAAACTCAGATGGCTAATATGATAAACCTTAATTAGCTTAATACAATAAGCTATTTTATCATTTAGTCCTTCATTCCGGTCTTTTGAGAGTCAGTGATTTTTATTTAACTTTGACAGCTAACCACTCGTAATGATGGTTTCTTGAGACTGTGTTTAAAAAACCTTTTTTGTAAGCCACTGCATGTCATGGAATGTTCTAGTTTACTCTCGGTGTTTTTTAGCCTTGTTGCTCCCCCTCCCCGCAAAGACTCCTGGAAATAGCATTTGTTTTGCATTAGGCCAGTCTTTCCAGCTGCAAATGCTGCTTAAGGTTGGAGAGCTGGTTCTCCAGGGCAGAAATGATGAGCTCATCTTGGATAGAGCCTTGTCTCAGGTGTTGCTCTCAGGCTGAAGTATAACAGTGTAGCAGGCCCAGATCTCCCAGAGAGAGAAACCCAGGGTTTTCTGGGCCCAGAATGTGAGTATGGAAAATAAGCAAGGGCACATTCCTTCCTGGAATATCCAGGAGGTAACATAGTAGCACCCATACTTGGGGCGGGGTCCTGTGCCTTGCTGTTGCTGTCACTGTGCCTGGTTAGAATTGCCTGCAGTGGACTCTAAGGACGACCTGCGAGCCATTCTCTCTGGAGCAGGAATGTGTGGGTTTGGCTGAAACGAGTACACTGGAAAAGAAAGTGTAAACTGGGTGTTGAACCCTTGCTTGTTTTTATCATTTGCCTCTCTAGAGTCATTTTTTCCATGTTGATCCAGGGCTTTAGAACTCTCAGGCTAGCATGGTTCAGGAGATCAATCTCTGTTTTTTTCCTCAGGGATTCCCTGCCCCCACCCATCTTGACTTATTTTTAAGGAAGGTCCAGGAAGGAGGTAGCCATCATGTAAATGGAATTTTCTGCTTCTACCTTAGTCTAGGGTGAGTGAGAGTTTTAGGATTTGTATTCTCCCTTCCCCCCTTTCTGTCTTCCCTTGAAATGCTTTCTTGGGCTTTGCTGTGGAGTACGGTCTGTCTTCAGCTGGTTTTGAATAACGTTTTCCATATCCTTGGTAGACCTCTGTCTGCCTTCACAGCTGAGGTTATCCTCATGTGGAATCTCTAAAAGGTTGCCAATGCAAGGAAAACTGACAGTATCTGAAAAACATTTGGGGTCGCTCCTTTCTCATTCCGCTAACATCTCTTCTTAATCCTGATACTGTCACAAGAACAGCAGCAGCCATGATGAACATTATGGAAATCCACACGTTTGTGTTAATTATATTTTAGGGATGATCTTCAACCAAGTTATGGTTGAAGAATGAACATTTAAAATTTTTCAATTTACATACAATAAAGTTTACTCTGTGACAGATAGTTGTATGGATTTTGACATATGTATAGAGTTGTCTGTCCACCACCATGGTTGATCAGATGATTTAAGCCAAAATATTTCCTCTTGCTGCCTGCTTTGTAATCAGACTCTTCTGCACTGTTACCATTGGCGACTGCTGTCCCACTATAGGGACATTGTTCTTTGTTCATATAGTTTGGTCTTTTCCAGAATGTCATATAAGCAGCTTCTTTCACTTAGCAAAATGCATTTGAGGTTCATCCATATTGTTCTGTGTATCCATACTTAGCTCTTTTTTATTGTTGAATAGTATTCCACTCTATCGATCTACCACAGTTTATCCATTTACTGGTAGAAGGACATTAGGATTGTTTCCAGTTTTGGGTGATTGTGAATAAAGCTGCTGTAAACATTTGTGTACATAAGTTCTTATTTCTCTTTGTTGAGTACTTAGAATTGGGGTGGCTGGGTCATATAGTACACACATGAGAATTAGAAGTTTGAATGAAAATAAATTCAGCTCATCGTAACTCACAGAAAAAATCTAGACTGGACAGCTGCAGTTAAGCCTTCCCAAGAAAGAGATCTTAGTGAACATTGTCTGAAGACACACGAGAGATGATCATGATAATAGCACACTCTCTAATGGGATGACATGCTTTATAGCCCTGAACTAATCGGAATTAGCTAAAAGTGGAAACAAAAAACTGTGAATGGTGTGAAATGGCCTTTATGTCCTCTACAATTATTTTTAATCTCTTCAGAAACATTTGGCAGTTTAATTTTTACATTTGTTTTCGGGTTCAGTAAAATGCCAAACAATAATAAAATTGAAAATTTGTTGAAATCTAAGTTGTGTGTAAAAAACTTCTTAATTATAAGTTGATTTATTGGATGCCAAAATATTGGTGGCGGTTTAAGACTTGAAGTTATTACTCAGCTTTTATATCTTTCAAGGAGGTGAAAAATTGAAGCAATATCAAAACAATGAAGAGGGGACATTTTGGAAGCAGATTTTTCTTTTATGGATAAAATAACTTTTCAGATTGGGAAGAACAAATACAGGTAAAGGTGGTGTAGAGGGAGGAGAGCACAAGAAGTGGGAAGTGAGGTTAATTTGAGGATTATTTCAGCCCTTTAACAAATTTACTGAGTGTTTACTAAGCACCAGACATTGTGCTAGGTGCTGGGAATACAGAGGGAAAAGGAAACCAGAGAATAGAATCTAGTGGAAAGTAGCCTATCCCGCCGCGGGTTTGGATCCTATATAGGAATGGCCGGTGCGCTCACTGGCTGAGTGTGGTGCGGGCGACACCAAGCTGAGGGTTGCCATCCCCTTACGGGTCATGAAAAAGACAAAAAAAAAAAGAAGAAAGTAGCCTCCAGAGCTATGATAGGAATGTGAATGGGCCACCTAATGCCAAGTGTCAGGGGAGGAGTCCTTGATGGGGTGGCTTCTGAGCTTAACCGTGAAGGCCCAGTAAAAATATGTAAAGCAGGCACAGGCAGGGAAGAGCATGAGAGTCCGATGCAGCAGCGTATGGAAGGGCACGGCTAGGGTTTGTTGTTGCAGGTCGAGTGTGGAAGCGATAAGTGATGCTAGAAGGCAGTCGAGGGCCAGGCTGATGAAAGCCTTTCTATACATTCCCTTCGAGTGTGGACTTCTTGGTGCAGGCAGTATAGGCAGAAAGACTCAAGCTCTCATCAGAAAGCACCGTGGAGGATGGAATGGAGGCTGTTCAGGCTGCAGGTAGGGAGGAAAAATGAGGGGGCCACTGTAGTAATCCAGGAGAGAACCGGTGAGGGCTTTTGATTCAAGGTGGCATTTGTGGGGCTGGAGTGGTGGGTGGTGGCTGCTTCAGGGGGCTATGTGTGTGTGTGTGGTGGCATCTGATTAGATGTAGATAGGGAGGGGGAGAGTCTGCCTCTGAGGAGGCGGTCTGAGGTTTCTTGGCGACTGCCTGCTTCTGTCTTTGAGGCAGCATATTCAGAAGGCAGAGTAGCTTTGGAGGAGTGGAGGTGGAGGGGCTTGATACAGTGAGTTGAAATTAGGATTCAGTGGCCTGTGGAGGTGCCCTTTGCCTCTGGGCTCTGTCCGTGTGGAGTTTAGGAGGGCTGTTTGGGCCAGAGGTCTACACTGGGAGTACTTAGTGTAGAACAGAGATAATAGGAGAATGGTGTAAAAAGGGTTGAGTTTG